TTGACGAGTGCTAAAAATTAAATCGTCAAAGAACAATCCAGAAAAAAGTTAATTCGATTAAAAAACAAACTAGTTGACTTTAATTCTAGATATATAGTGCAATATATTTGGTCTCGAACTAGCACTGTAAAATTTAAAAACTTTTAAGATAAACGAGAAAACATGCTGAAATTCAGATTTAATGTCACACATGAAAAATAAAATTATATTTCAGAAATTTCAGAAGAAACATCAATGTTATATTTTCTAGTATAATACTGATCAACCACTAGTACTTTAATCAAAATAAATGTATATAACCAAGCTAAACAGAAATTAATCACTATCATTAAAATATACAGTGTTTTGTATTAGTTTTAGATTGTTCAGAAGCACAATTTTCTTGTTGGGAATGCTCGAAAATATAATATTTATTTAATAATGAAATGCAGTAAGAATTCTCTTCAAAAACATACGTAGATGTCAAATCGAAATGAAACAATTTCACATATTTAATATAATTTTTTGTAATTCTGTTATTTCTAAAAAAAGAAAAAAAAAGTAATTTTCTGAACGAATTGAAGCATATCCTTTATAAAAAGGCAGATTCTGTATTTTTTTTGATTTGCACGACATCTGTTTGACACAATGACTCATATGTTAGATAAATTCATCGTTATCATCTAACTTTCCTTCAGGACCTTGTATTCATTCTAATAGATTTCATTTGTAATGTAATTCTACGGAGGGAAAATGGTGGTGTCATTGCGTTCATGGTTTTTACTTTTGACTTCAAGCCAAACGTAGACTTTGATTTCGGGGGAGTTTTATAGTTCGATTTCTTTAAAAAAAATTCTGATGCATTATTCTAGATTAATGGACTTATGAGAAAAATATCTTAGTTCTGAAATGATGTGTTATATTTCTTTTACATGAAAACAAATCATTAAACCAAAATGAATGTCATTAAAGCAAACATTTATATATTACAGTGTATTCTTGTTTGTGATTTAATACATTTACCAAAACCATTTTATATCTTTCCGAAGTATTAAACGCTTCTGCTGTTGTAACTGGAAGTTCTTTCCTTTTTTGCAAGGGAAAAATATCTCTTTCAAACAATATTTTGTTATAAAAATTCCCTGTAATGCAAGTATTAGAGTATAGGCAGGGGTCAGCTGCTATGAGACATATCCTATCATAAAACCTACAAATAGCTCATGAATTTATTTACAAACAATTATAACACTTCTCACATTGCCTTCAAAGAAAAAAAAAAATAGTTTTCAGAGTGTTGTTAACGCGTTTGGTCGTAACGCAACACATACAACAATTAGTAACGATATATAAGGTTAGTGATTATTTTAAACAAAATTTGACAATGGAATAGAGCGTCTTCTTGATTTCAACAAGGGACTCATGGCGGATGTGGCAAGTCGGCTGGGGATGCTTGCTTACTCCTCAAAGGCTGCCAATCCCACTTCTGGTGTTTCCAGGGATTTGTGTTTTTGTCCTCTTCACGAATCGTTTGTTGACTGGATTTTAGAGATTGACTCTTGTTACACATTTGTAACGATTACAACGAGAATTAATAGTTGTGCTTGCTAGGATCAAATCGTACAAATTATTATTAATCGCGAAAAGTCAATAGAGTCTGAGCTTCCTTTCTCCCTGGCACTCACAATCTTTTTCACATGCCTTTAGGAAACACCATCCTTGTGCTTACCCGGTAAAACCAGTGGAATATGTTTGAACTGAGGGCGTTTAATTGCTCTTCGTACCATGAGACCAGCTACAAATCACTATTTTTCAATTCGACATAATGTCCTAATGGAAGATGACTTCAGCAATACAACATCCTGTTATACATGTTTGTCACGTTATTCAGGAATAAAAGTTTTCATAATATCATAAAGAAAAATGACCGACTGTGTAACAATAAGGTGCTCTGGAGCCTTTACATAAACCAATCATTCAAAATTTATAGAATCCTTAAAAATTGAGGGTTGTCTTGAAAATAGAGCAGAAATAAATCAAAAGGTTGTATATTATTAATGTTCAGGATTCCATTGGATATAATAAAAGAAGCGCAAATTTAGCACATGCACTTCCAAATCCAGGAAGATTAAGATTTATATAATATATTTATAGCTCGTGACCAGTCTTTTGAATCGGTATATTGCACTTTTTGGTTCATATTTGAATGCTTTAATTATTGTTAATGAAAATGTAAAGGTGAAATTTTAACCAAGCGACAATATGAGGATCACAGCTTTTCATCAGTGTTCCCTTAATATGAATTAAAATTCCACTGTCGTCTGCGTATTCAATAATCCACCAACCAAGAAACTTTTTAAGGTCAACACAAAGGAAGGTCACTCATAAACGCAATTTTATATTACAGGACTTTAAACAATCTCGTTTTTTCTTCAAGGATCCATGATTTTGCCTCTTTGGATTCGCCTTGAATTCCAGAAAAACTAAACAACAGAATTGGGAAATTATGAAATGATAAAAAAGAGGTATATATCATAAAACTAATGAGTTATATCGCTTTTTGTATAACGTCTTACGGTATTCCCATCCTCCTATGCTGTCATAGGTTTTTGCAAAAAACTTGTTTTATTTAAATTCATACCCAATAGAACATCATCTTTTGAAAGAATGCTTTTCAATAAGTGTAATGATAAATATGATTTTTAAGTAAAAGAATGAAAGAATTGAGATGTATATTTTCTTTATTTAATCAATTATTCAATATTTAAAAGATGTAGACAAGGGCAATAACTCCTTCTCAGGTATATTCATTTAGGCATATTCTTTACTTAGCTAAAATAGTTTCCCTGATATTCACAATTAAAAATTTTCTAATAAGTAGGAAGTATTTTCGAACTTTCAGCATCAGAATTATGCATTTGAACCAGTTTCATTATAATTTTGAAGTACTGTTAACAGAAAGAATACATTTTGTTTTTGTTGACATAGACTTCTGTTTATTTAATATGCCTCCCATCTTAAATAATATGGCAACCTACACAGACATGTATTTTGCAATAATTGGTAAATTTACATTAACTATATCAATTGGAAATTTATGCAGTTTTTGTACTTTGAATCATCAAAATTTTGAGGGTGGAAAGTCCTCAAGTTCTCTCTCTCTCTCTCTCTCTCTCTCTAGACTCTCTCTCTCTCTCTCTCTCTCTCTCTCTCTCTTTTCACGCACTTTAAAAAGTTCATTAAATCTTCAATTTATTGCCTAATTCCAACTATTTCATACTTGATTAATCTCATAAAATAAGAAAAATTATTTTCTAATTAAAATATTACGTCATGATATTATTTATGCTAAAATTTAGAGAACTTGTACCCTGCTAGAAAGTGCTTGCGGGGAAATGGTAACGTAATATTTCTATGACGTGAGGATTCAGTTTATTTTGCATAACAATTTTGTAAGTTGTAAAGTGTTAAAAAAGTATTGCATTTTTTCTGATAACACATTTTAAAAGTAGTAATTGTCTCAGTTGACTCTGAAACTTCAACTCTCAATACAAAGCTTTTAAGACAGGATGGAATCTTCCTGTCGGCAAGACAAAGTCATATATAGCAAATACTCAAGGATCAGTCAAATTAAATTTTTCAGAATCTTCAGTGCATTAGCTGCAGGAATACAGCTTCTGTTTTGCATATAATACGTATTGATCAACTTGTTTGGTGTCATCTGCTTACGTGAATGCCATTAATATCAAAAAGTCCTACAGAGTTTGTTACTTCAGATGCCCTAGATATTTAGAGAAAAAAATGTATCAAATGGCATTCCTTAGTCTTTCAAAAGTTTTATTTTGCAAAGCTGGCTATCTTACAAGTACATATATGTTAAAATAACAAAGAAACGAAAAAATATACCTTTTTTAAAGTCATGCATCGAGTGAAGCCGAATTGTTAAAAATACAGCCAATCTTTTCATTTTTATTCAAAATTAATCTTCAAAATTCTTTCATATCTTTGTTCAAATAATTCCTTTAAAAATCAACACACAATTAAACAATCAAATCCACAGTGTAACAATGGGGATGGAGTGAGATTTTTTAAAACAATAACATAGCCATGGACATCGGTATAACAATAAATCTACAAGTTTTATATACCAGGGTATATATTTTCTTTAATTTACTGCTAACGCATGTAATGTAAAAACAGTTAAGATTTCATCATATTTGTTTCAAATTTTACTCAGCCCTTTAAAAGTTTGAAAAGTCTTTAGGAAAAGCCATAGAAAGTTTATATTTTGATTCTTAAACACCAGAAGACGGGCTCGGGTATGTGATGTTAGATATTGCTTTTTAAACTGCCACAAATTTAGAGAAGTTTAGTTTGTATGATCCTTTTACGTTCCTTCAAGAATGCTCCCTTATACTCAGAAGCTACCACCAGCGGTAGAAGGCTTCAAAATTAGACCTGTACTCATTATTTACAACCTTTAAACAATGAAAGGTGTTTTTCGCACCAACAGACTACATGTACTACAAAACAAGACCTTTGTTTATACTGCTTCATCCAAATACCGGGTCCTCACGTCCTGCAGTAGGATACAAAGCCGCAAATTAAGGATCACCTACCCACATGTACTCCGCGTAATAGTGCAGAAGTTCTAATACATGTAACTGCGCCCTTTCATAGGGGGGAATACTGTTAAACAAAGCAGACCGTTCCTTTAACTTTGATATGCCAACAATCACTCAAAAAAACTTTTTTCAACATATTAATTCATTGGAAAAAGAGTGAACTCAGGTCAAATGATCATGACAAGGCGGGTGACCGGTCGACCAGGGATGTATAATTCTCCATGGCACCTGATCCCTTTATGTTTTTGAAGGTATGTGTTTATTCTACTCCAAATTTATGTTGTTCTTGAACACTTTTGTGCTTGATACCTATTTCACACACTGCATTTTCAGTTGAGGTGGGCATGGTAAAAAAAAATGGCAATATGAATTGAAATATTCAAAAACAAACAACCGAGTTTCTGTGGTAAAACCAAGTTTAAAAATTTTATTTGAATAGAAGATTAACAAAACTTTTTCCTTTAAAGTTCCTTTTGGAATAATATTGTTGAGCATTAACACTACAGTATTTTCTTCACTGTTATTCAAATAAGATCCCAGTCAAAAGGCCTTACACAAAGCACATTTGAACAAAGTATCATGCATACAGGATATCCATAAATAATTCTTTATACAACATTTTTGCAAAAAAAATTCATCTCTCTCTCTCTCTCTCTCCAATCAGTGTATATTTGTAATAGCCCATTGTTTCTTTCCCATAATAAATGATTGTCAATTGTCAGGATAGCGTGAGAGGTCTTGATTGAAGATCGAATCAAATAACAAATATTTCAAGCGGAATTCTGTAGTATCTTCAGTACAGTGAATGACGTGAGGGGCTTAGATTTTTTACTGTAAGACAAAATTTCTTGCAAGTTTTTCATATCAACAATTAATCGAGCAATGCCTCTCCAATTTTTAACTTTTTTACCCTACAAGTCTATCAAAGTAACCTCAAACTCGCAAATCATTAGAATTTAACCAAGTGGAATGTTCCTCCCTAGTTTGAAGTTCATGATTTTATCTTTAGGATCATCAGGATCAATGAAGTGTGAGCAGGATAGGATAGATAGGAGGATCTAAGGTACAGAGGGGTGTGAGGATATTATATGTAGCATATGAGAACATTAACATAATTTTTTCACTGACCTAGGAATAATGAGATAAAGTTTAACTTTGATTACATTAAAAATAACTTATTCCCATGTATTCATAAAAAATATAGACCTGCTTTTGCATGGCTGATTTCTCAAACAGTAACAGATGAATTTCATTAAAGGTTAGTGATTTTATTTTATTCTTCAAAATGTCAAGCATTTAAACAAATGTGCTTCAGTTGAAAAATATTTCAACGGTTCAATTTTAATTCCTTCAAGTTAAATTTAAATCAAAACCCCATGAGACTAACCTTAAAATACGGAGTAATTCAATCTTAATGAATTAAAAGAGATAAAATACCGGGTAACACATTTCATATTATTGCATTTTAAAATGCATGTAGGTTTCTCTTGTAATACTAGTATACGATATTAAAAAAAGAAAATGATTCGCAAAAGCTTGCTGCGTTAAATATTTAAAATGGGATGACTTGAGGAATGATCATAGAACTGACATGTATATACATATACATGACAAATATCTTATTTTTTCCCTCTCCATTCATACTAGTTGGAAAGGGAGGCTGTAGCAAGTATAACATAACCTGAGATAAATTTATAAAAGCACTTTCAAAGCTCTTTACAATTCTTCTCCATGCTTATGTATAGAGGGCAATTTTACCTCATCTGCATTGACAAGTAAATGATAATAGAAATTAATAACCTGCTCATAATTTTTAATTGAGAGTCTTTCGTTGTTTCCATGGAACCGTTTTAGATCTTCTGGATACATGAAGGTAGGGCTAAATCTGTATATGTTCTTGGTAAAGCGGATATAATGCACTGTGTCGGTATTTCCGATCATGACTCCTAAAAGGAAATTATATTCAGTAAATTTAAGTAATATTTAATTCCTGATATAATTGTTTTATGTTGTACGATAAATGGCTTAATCCTTTGTAGCTTCAAGCATATATTATTACACTCTACAAATTATGAATTGAAAATACCATACATTAATTTTCTATTTTTCCTCGTATTATCACGCTCTTACTAACAAATTATAAATTAAAAATACCATACATTAATTTTCTATTTTTCCTCTTATTTTCAAGGTTTCTTACCTTTAGATTTTCTTAATTTATAATTAAGTTTTTAATAAATTAGCCTATTTCTCTTTCCATACCATTTGTTATTTTCGTTTATTTGGCAAGTTCCTTCTATTGATTAATTAGAATAGAATGTTCTATGTTGGCCATCAACAAACATATTTTATATAACAATGTACAATGCTCTAACATCAATAAAAATAAAATTCAAGGTAATGCATGTTGTTATTATACCGGTATTATTTACTGCACTACTTGAAACATACCAGGTACAACTGTAGCACTGGTCCAGATTTGCCGGATGCTGTTTTTTATCGTCTGATAACCGAAATCCTCGTCCCCATAGGGGGACATTGGGTGGGGCTCCATAGAGGTCACCACTCGAAGCTTGACTCTTTCATCATTAATTACTTTCCTGTCATAGTCTAGGACCTTATATAAAAAAAGTAAAAATTTCTACAACTAGGGTTACTAATGATAAGGACATTCTACAAAATAACATTTTAAAATTAATTAAAGTTCTACAATTATGCAAAAAAAAAAAAAACAAACAACAAAAATAACAATAAATACCTAGGTATATTCGCATTGGTAAAAGAAGAGCACACTTACATATGTATTAGCAAACTATTCAACCTGTGTATTTTCTATTTTATAATTTATTTTGAAACGTTTTGTAAATCAGCTGTGCATTCAATGTTCCTTAACTCTAACTCGTATTGAGGTCGTATGGGTTGTCTTTCTTAGCCCGATCTCACCTCTTCCACAGACTGTGCTGGGTGTATACGATGATTAACCAGGGCCGTGGCGGAGGGTGGCAGGACGTTCACCTAGAAGAACATAAAGGAGAACTTTTGAAATCACGATTTTCAATATTCAAAGACAAAATTGAGATATAAAAGAAATAGATTTAAGAAACATACGACAAAAAATCAATATCATAGAGATTTATATTGCCAATATGACACCTTCTAAATAGTATAAACAGAAAGTCATTTTCCTCAGAACTCTCCATAAAACGCAATTCAAAAATATATTTTTAGACACACATACGCAAACATGCACAGTCTTAAAAAATCTTTTTGAACAAAATTTACAGTAAAAAAAAATTTCTCAAAATTTAGTTATCCTAAGACTTTAAAATAAATTATATAAATTAACAGTGGGGTTAAATCATTTGTAAGCTTTTACACTGTAAACGATCTAATATATATAAGCTTTGTAGAGGCTTTGATGAAATTTAAAAAAAAACAAGATTAACGTGTAGTGAAGGATATGGAGATAACGAACAGTTTTCAATATCAAAGTCCATAAAACAATACAAAATAGGAGTAGAGCAAACACGGACCTCCAACGCATCAGAGGTGGGATCAGGTGACATGGAGGAGTGACATCCCCTGCCGACCGTTCACACCCGCTGTGTGCTTCTTATCATGATCGGAAAATAACGAGAAAATCCGTCGTCAATTAAGTGTATAAATAATTGACCAACTATTAGTATGAAAAACTTCAGTCAGCATTTGACTCCATGATAAATTGTAGTTGCTGACAAGGTCATTGTATCGACCGCAGAACTTAAGAAATGATGACTTTTAACGAGACTGCTGATATTCTTGTTTCATCAACTTGCTTGTCAATAATTTACATCGTTTTAGAAATTGTTCATACGTAGAGCATGCTTTTGCGTATCGAATCAACTGAGACATATAGACGCCGTATGCAGGTGATATAGGTATATTGCTGCATAAGTAAGGGAAGCTGACGATGGAAAAGTTAAAGCCATCACGTTTATCAGAGGGGTTGGTTGTTAGATTACCATTAATGTCTTTTGCAAGTAAAATATCCAAGTATGAAACATATGTGTAAGACTCTGTGGTATCTTTTATCTCAAGCTCATCAGAATGCTGTGAAAACACTAATTTTCGTTGGGGTTTAATTTACGTTGTTTTCGAGTTATTGAGAGACCCAAGAATTTATTACCACCACAAAATGTAAAATTTCATGAAATTTCATACACATTACCTACTAAACAATCTCCAACCACGAAATCAAATCCCCACAAATCATTATTTTTTCCTCAAACCTCGAAAATTTGACCCCACGAAAATATGTGACTTTACAGTATATCGTATCTTCATAGGAATGGAAATCACCATGATTGTTAATTGAAAATATGTCGTCAATACTGAGTATATCTTAGTGTGGAGTTGAAAGCCACAGCTTGTGTTTTCTTTCTCTTCCATTTAAAATGTATGTACAGGTATTATGAAATAAAATGGACTCATTGATAAATTTTAATCTGATAAAATAAACATCATTATCTATCAAAGACAATCAAATTTAAAACATGGTACCTTAACACCACCATTCACCATGGTTACTGATGTCACAGTTCTTACGATAGCATTCAAAGATGGAATTCTTGAAAACAGTCTAAAATATGAAGCAATGCAATAAAATTACAATATCAAAATATTCCGTCAAGTTTAATGTATAAGTAAAGTCTGACATTTAAAACTCATAGAATATAATAAAAAAAAACTATAATCTATCATCTAATATATATAAGGAAAATCACCTATTTCATTATGCTTATATCAATATATTACCTGTTATGATGATCAAGATTATTCTTATTATTCTTTTTTTTTCCCTTTTCCTAGACGCCAACTTTGAGGCCTCATATTTCACTCATTTCTCAATGGATTTTGCTCAATTTTTCAGAGTTTATAGACGTTGCTAAACTCTATCAGAATTTTGTCTAGCATTCCAAAAATTCACTTCCGCTTTTGAGTTATTTCCCTCTAAACGAAAATTTATAGGCTTTCATTTCCAGACAAAGGCTCGGAGATGGCAAAAGCTGGAGCAGAAATTTTACTGATTTAACACAATAGAAGGGTTGAAGTTGTACATACATGTAGCAGTTTTTGTTTTTTTGATTTCTCTATTCAAAATGGTGCTATATAGGGGTCAAAAAATAGAACGCCTAAAAGATCGAAAATGTACACATATTTTGCTTATTATCTTCTAAACTAAAAATATTTTGTTAAAACATATAGAACAATATTTGTGCAGAATTACAAGATCTTTCAAATGATATCTCGAAAAAAAAAATTAAGGGAGAAAAGGGGCCATGATTCGTTTTTTCCAGATACCTCAAAAAGTATTGAGAATTTGTAATACGTCCAAGAAGCAAAACTGTTCAAAATGTCAAGCTCAATCTATTGAAGTCGTCAAAATGCGTCCGGCGACGTTACTTCCGGTCAGAAAATGCATATTTTTGCCGTTCTTGACAAGTTTTTGGGAAACATATGTCACTGGAAGCATAAAACTAATTTTCCGTAGACATCACTTCCGGTCAAAATATAGAAGTAGCAATAAAAAAGCTTTTTTTTAAGGTTTTTATGGAAAATTGAAATAATAAAGTGACTGGAGACGACTTAGCTCATTGCTTTCTTTTGTTGACGTCACTTCCGGTCAAAACGGACGGAAGGCCTACTCGTTGCTTTGCAACGAGCTTTGCTCTAGTTATGCTTATATTACCTGTTATAGATAAGTTTTTTGAAACTTTTTTTTTTTAATTTACATGTTCAGTTTAGATTTACATAAAACATGTATTACCTGTTAAGTTAAGATTTACATAATACTTGTTCAGCTGAGTTTACACAATACTTGTTCGGTTACGATTTACATAATTACGTACCTGTTCAGCTAAGACAACGAGGGTTGTCCGTAAGTTCGTAAAGGACACTGATGTGTACGAATTTTTTGTTCAGTTTAAATTTGCATAAAACCCGTTGGGTTAAAACGTATATTCAATGTAATACTTGTTCAGCTATCATTTACAAATTACTTTTCCCATGAAATTTTTCAAATTTCATATTACCTGACGAGTGTTCATTTCAGAGATATACACAGAACTTATTCAATTAGATTTTGATAATACCCGTTCAACTGAGTTTAAAGTTGATTGTTCAGTTAAGATTTGCTTGTATACTAGTATTAGCTAGATTTACATATTACTTAAATATAACCTGCTGAACTTAAATTTAAATTTAACCAGTTCAGTCGATGTATATATAAATATTACCTGGATACAACTGGTCCAAACAACCACAAATTTGTTATAACTGCTCGAAAAGGTAATGATAGCTTAAAAGGAAAAAAACAAGTTTTGAAGTTCATATCAAGGAAAAATTTTGTTCTTATACATGTTAAATGAAATATATGGAAATATATTACAGTATTCAGGCTCAAAAGTCCATTAAACAATACTAAATTGGAGTAGAGCAAACACGGACCTCCAAAACATCAGGGATGGTATCAGGTGCCATAGAAGAGTGAATAGCCCTGCCGACCGGTCACACCAGTCGTGTGTCAATTGTCATGATCGAGAAGTAAGAGAAGATGATTGAAAAGGTATAATCATCACGTTTATTATAAAGCTTTGGTGCTTGATTACCATAAAGGTCTTTCTCAAGTAAAATATTTAAAATGCAACAGATGTGTCAGACTCTGTGATATATTTAAAATGTATTTCAAGCTCGCCTGGACATATCGTATCTTCATTAGGGCTGTATCAATATATCGATATATCGATACGTATCGATATTCAAGAAAAATTTCGTATCGAAAAGTAACTTCCAATACGTATCGGACAGACATTTTTTCTTCAAATTCTGTTTAAAAGATTGGAATTTCAATCACCGAAGATTATATTTTACTTTTTTGAATTAAAACCTTCAATAATTATTTAATTTCCAAGGAAATAACACAGTTTTTATAATTATTACAAAATACAAAGAGAAATTTTTCTGAACATGTTGATTTTAATGTCATCAAAAGTTTTAATTGAAGCGTTATTTTTAAAAACAATGAGACAAGAACTTTAAAATGAGTAATAAAAAAACTTAATTGTTATGAAATGTATGCATAAAAATGTTTTAGAAGCCTTTTCTGATGGACTTGTTTCAGAATCCAATATATCGCATATCGCTCTAAAAAATATTGTATCGTATCGTTTCGAAAATTTTGGCTCAATACACAGCCCTAATCTTCATAAGAATAGAAATAATCGTTATAAAATATAGCGAGATAATGAACAGTATTAATGATATATTAGTTCATTTAAACAAGACAAATCAAGAGCAGAGCAAATGCGGACCTCATAAACCTCAGAATTGTGATCAGATGCCATTAAACAGTCCAGCTTCCCCTGCCGACCGATAACATCTGCAGTTTGCTCCTTGTCATGATCGGGAAGTAACGAAAAACTCTGTTTACAATTTAGTGTGTAAATAATATACTAACAAGTAGAGTGAAAAATGTCAGTCTGCATTTGACTTTATGATATATTGTACATACAGTTTTTGCTCAGTATGTCATTGAGTCGACCAAAGAACTTTAGAAATGATTACTTTAAACAAGAGAGTTGATATTCTTGTTTTAGACTAGTACCTTTGAAATAATCTCATTATAGAAATTCTTCGTAAACAAAGCCTGTTCTTGAGTATCGAATTTAACGTTAGGAAAGTTGACGATTGAAAAGCTGAAGTTATTACGTTTATCATAAAACGTTTTTGTTAGTCTATTATTGAAGTATTTTATAAGTAAAACACCATATATGAAAAAAATAAAAATTTTCTTTATAAAAATTCTATTTTCAATCATAATGGTTATTTTAAAAATATTTACAGATGAAGCGAGGTGAGTAAATGTGTCTTTCTCTGGTCCTGTTCCAAACATGTTAGGGTGGGGATTCTCCTCCAACCTGAAAACAGGTCAGGTATAATTAGATTTGGCATTTTAACATTGATTCCACAGGAATTATTTTTGAAAAAAATTATATGTGAATATATAATTTATATACAGTCATGCACACACATATTTTTTTTTTCATACTTCATCTAATGTGAATCCCTTTGTTCTTTTGCCGGTGGAATTTCTTTTTTTGTTAGTTAAACATCAGATTCCACAAATACTGATAAGTTACAGGCATCTTTTACACATAACTTATCAACAATTAACCTTATCTTAACCTTTGCATCCTTATACACACCTAGTTATGGCCCTTGCTAATGTAGCTATAGTTGTCTCCCCTGCTGGCATTGAAGAGTGACCTGGACTTCCAGTGACAGATAATTCAACGTTCAGCGACCCTTTCTCTGATGTTCCTACTCTGAAATTCAGTTAAATGTCATCAGTAGTAAAGTGTCATTTCCAGAACATGAAGAACTACATGACTTAGGAAACCTCTTTAAATTCTTTAACATGATAACAATGAGCAATATACTTCATCCTCCATTTAGGAACCTAATCCACCTCTGGAACTTCCACATTCTATGCCAGTTCACAGATTTATATTGTTTGTATTTTGTTTAAGCAAGATAACTGTTGTCTGCTTTCACTTTTTTTCATTACACACATGGCCAAATTAAATTTAATTTTTCGTTTTATCTTTAAATGGTTTTTAGAAAATGAAGCTTACACGGCGATTGGAATACTGACTCCTGGGAAGAGGTTGTTGACAATAGTTGTCCCCTCGTCTATTAAAAACTCCAGATCTCGAACCCCTCTGTTGTATAAAAGCTCGCTTATTTTAGCAGCCCCATCAAGACCTGTTACCTGAATATATTGTAAAAGGATCGTAAAAAGTTTATTTTTTGAAACGTCATTTAAATTTTCTTCTCCAAACCTAAGGGAATGAAAATGAAGTTATTTTATCAAATTATGCATCAAGAAATATATATAAGCTTAATTTAAAAAGATTCGTATGTTGACTTAGATGTTTGAAACATTTAAGAGAATTTAACTGGTCTCACAACATACCTCTTTCTGAAATTTCAAAGACTATTATTTCAATATATTATATTATATATAATATGCTTATGTCTTTTTTATCGTTATTTCTTAAAAAAGAGATCAAGCTATCATCAATAGATGTTTAAATCTTAAAAATTACACTTAATTGTACCTCTTCGTCATGTCCAAATGCAAGATAAAAAGTTCGTGTTGGCTTATGACCAGATTTTAGTAAAAATTCTGTTGCTTCAAGCACACCCTGAAATAAAAAGAAAACATTAAGTACAGAGTAAATGTGTTTCAACCGCAGATTATGAAAAAATCAAGAGAGAGAAAGATAAAAATTACACCATGGTTATACCATTAAAATTTGTTTAACATCTATCGTTCCACGAGCGTAAATAAATCCATGTTTTATATTGGCTCCAAATGGATCTTCATCCCAAGCTTTTTCATCCACGGGCACTACGTCTAAATGTGCACACAACATGTATGGTCTGAGCTCTGGATTCGAACCATGGACCTTATACAGAAGACTGTAGTTATTTACTACGTCATGAGTCACGAGTGGTGAGGAATGGACCACAGGGAAAGCTGTGTAAAAATACAGTGTTTTATTGTTAAATCACAGATAAATAAGTATGTTAAATTTAGCAATTGTATTTATCTGATTTATTTCACAAAAGGCTACGAGTTTTTATAAATAACATTCCAAGATCAAGTTTATTAATTCCATAATATTTTTATATCATTCTTAGTCATCAAAGTTGGTTATAGATCAGTGTGGTTCGATCTGTGGAATACTTATTACTCTTTAAAATACACTGTACTACATGAATAAATAACTGACGCTTGAAAGTCGCCCCTCCCCTTTTTGTTGCGGTATAGGGAAGAAACAGAAAAGTAGGGAATTCCCTCCCCTTCGAAATAGGATGTACGACTTCGGACATTTTTTTTATAGGTAAGTAAAAAACAAAAACAAAAAAATCAAAAATGTTGAGCAGTACGGCACCTTCTAAGAAGTCTAAGAACCATTTCACTCTGTAAAACCTCTGCCTTATACATGTAATTTATTCATCGCGTTTTATAAATGGGTCATTTTCAAAAAATGTCCAAATTCCTGTTATACAAGCTTTTTTTGAAAATTTTGCAATAAAAATCAATTTTTTTTTACCCGATGAATTTAACAACAATCTACAAGTGTAGAAAAAAATTAAGTGCGATTAAAAATTGACTTGAATACTGAAAAAAGTCCTTCAACCTGAGTAAAATTAAAGAGAATTGCTTGTGATTTGGCCGGATGTTTGACTTCAACTCTGATTATTGATGTAGTAAATATAATTAAGCAGTGTAAAATGACCTTTATTGTGTTGTACATGTTTAATACTGTCTAAATGCATGCTAAAATGTGATTGAAAAAGAGTAAGAATATGATTTTTTTTAAGTTAAGTGTGTGTTATTTTGGCCGTGTCCTTGGAGTTACCAGAACATAAAAGTTATCTGTAACAGTTATCTTTCCTAAAGAAACTCTTCACTATCAGCCTCCTTCTTTTGGTCTTGTTCCCGTCAAAATATCATGAGACACTTTACACAGATCTTTTATACCATAGGCACAATATGTGGTTGAAGGCAAGTTTGATTGCAATAGTAATTTATTTTTGAGTCCTAGGAGTTACTTCGATATTGTGATGATAAATTAATTTGCCATTTCTTTGATGCATTGAGCAAGTTTATAACAAAATACCTATCATCTAGGAGCTGTGCTTTATGTTCATAAGTCAGTTATTGCTTTTATACTTCCAATTATTTATATAATGATTCCCTGGTGTTACTGTCCATTTTGTTACTGCAAGAAAAGTTACTCTAAGGATGTATCTAGTTACTCCATGGACAATTTACATAGAAAATAATTAAAAAGAATGAAAGTTGGAGTCATATGTTTTATTTTCCTCCCTTATTTAAAACTATCCAACAACTAATTTTGTTTTAAAATGCCAAATTATTTACTAAATGTTTTTACCATTTGAAAATCATATGATTCTGCAGTCTTGGTTATGCAAAGGACAGAATTGGGTAACTCCACGGACCAATTGAAAAAAAAAACCCTTTAAATTCCCAATTTTAATACATTTGTGTAAAGTTTATTACAATATAAAATAACAAAAATATTTTTATCAAATTGGCATTTATTTTTCATATTATGTTTCCATGAGCTATAAATTAATTCAATAAATAATTTGAGTAACACAAAGGACAATGTTTGGTAACACAATGGATGTAAAAACGATTAAATATTTATGTTATTAATATACTCTTGCATGTTCTTTTGTTTCTGTAAGAAAATATGCAACTTTTATTTCTTTTGAATAAATTGAAATATCAAAATTCATTATGTAATGCAATCATATCCCCTTTTATGCTCTTTAAAGTAACCTATGGTAACACCATAGACAAATTCAGTTACTCAAGGGACACAGCAAGGATTAAAGATAGAAAAATGAAACAAGCGTATTGCATATGGAGTGGTAATTGTGTTCATTGTATTGCAGAAAACAAAAGTGGTGGGATATTGCAATTCAAGTAACAATAAATAATGAAGTGCTAAAAATATATGAAGGTTAAAAATGGTAACACAGAGGAAGTTTTAGGTAACACAAGGGAATGTGAAATAAGACAGAATATGATTTGTTTTCTTTAGTCTGAGGATTCTAGTTATGTTCTCTTAATCATGTTAATGAAGATGATGTAAACAAGACACATTAAAAAGTTGCAATGAAGCCAATAGAATCCAAGGCGTTAAAGATAGATTTATATCATTGAATTAAAAATACCTTTAAAGTTATATCAGATACGGAACATTTCTTTGCAAATGCATTTAAAGTCCTTTAATCATGTAAACCCTTAGATGAAAAAGTCACAAATTGTTCATAACTGTTCTAAAAGGATTTCAAAAGATTTTTTTAAGGAGACAATGTACCAGTCATTACCCTAGAATACAGTTTTGCATTTAGTTGAGGATGTTCTTCAGATTTGTCCAACTGAAATCCCTCATGACTGTTCTACATCCTGTAAAAGTTGGTGCTGAAAGAAGTTTTTAACCTTGGATGTACATAAGCTTTTGGAAAGTGGTGGAGAAGATTATATAGTCGAGGCAGCATTGGACAACAACAAGGCCAGATATGGTGGCAGACCATTACATTTCAAGCCACTTTGTTGGATTGTTACCCTGAAGAACTGTCAATGAAAGTTTGGCAAACGATCAGTGGATACAAGAGCAAAAAGGGCAGAAAAATATCAATGAAAAAAATGAAAAAGAGTACAGATTAAAAAAAGTCAAGAGTTCCTGATAGGAAATCCGACTAAAGAAACTGAAAAGACTGACACCCTGGAAGAGAAAGAATTGGAGTCAATAATGAACATCAGACTACAGATGAAGAGAAATCAGATCCTTTGGAAGAGAGACTGGATAAAGATACAGAAAAAATGAACTTAAATGTATGCACGGGATTAGAACAGAACCTAAAACCATGTTCCTTTTTAACAGGCCAAAAACTGTAAAAGATAAAAGCTGGTATAGCATTGCTAATGTTTTAATAATATTGTCACCATCATATCTTGTAGATGTGTATTATGTAGAGAGCTCATTGTGGAAAGAGGCTAGCTGTAGATAAATGAAATGAAAATGTAAAATCCATAAAAAGATTAATGCATTCTATATATTTGAAATCTGGTCATTTACAAATACATGTACATGTTCTAGTTTCACAATTATTTCTTCATTAAAAATTAGTTCTAGCTGATCTAAGACTCATCTATGTAAACCTTTGAATCTTTTAAAGGTGTCCTTTGTGTTATTTTTTGTCATTGGTGTTACAGCTTCTGCTTGGATATGTAAATACACTAACAAGTACTGATCAATGATTCAGAGTCATGTGATAGTAATTATTTATTATTCGGGCATAACAATTTGATTTCATTTTTCCACTGTCATATATCTTATGATTGGATAGTTATGTCTATGTCGTTACTGTTTTATCCTTGGTGTTACTAGTCAGACTCAAAATGTATAATGAAAGAAATCCCCAGCCAATTTTTTATGTTAAAACCATATACTCTTATATTCACCTCTAGGGTAATTTCATTACTATCCTTTTCCGAAGGAAGGAGAACAACTTTATTATTTCTTTCTAAGTATTACACAAAATATCCTTAGTGTAACCTTTATGTCCTTTGTGTTATGCAAATATCCTTGGTGTTACCAACACATTTTTCCTATATTTATGTTCTAAATCTTTATACAATTTTATCGAAACTTGCAACACAATACTGTCGTTTTCTAATACTAAGTTTATTTGCAAAGCAAGTATTTTGTGCTGAGGTAAATGATGTATGCCTTAAGTAAACGTGTAAGATATATACAAAAGTTACAACACTTACAACTTCCAGCTATACTTTATCTGATAATTTTCTGTTATGAAACTTCAGTTTGATTCAATAGAATAATTTTATCACTATGTTGAGATTGTTATTCTAAAAACCTTAATTTTTTTTTTAATTATGATTTTACTATGACTTTTAACTAAGTAACACCATGGACATTTATTGTTGGGTCCATGTACATATAATGTTTTTTTTAGTATATGTTAATAGAATTCTTTGTGCTTTAACATTGTTTATGCATCTATGATGTTTGAATGCTAAAATAAAACTTTAAAAAGTTTAGACTCCCACATTTATTTTTGCAAAATACTGGTGTTGGAATTTGGACAAATTTTGAAAATGACTCATATATAAAATTATTTAAGAGAAGGAAATTAAAACATGCTTTCAAGTCAATACAAAGCTAAATGAATCAGAAATCAATTTGGATTCAGTTACCTTTTTCTTCAAACATGCTATCATCTATTACCGAACCTTTACCTGACAATTCAAAACCTCTTAATTTTGTTCCGAACAGCGCACCATAGCAGTTAAAATCACAGAATTGATATTTACCTGTGTGAACAAAGTCCACCATCTTTTGAAGTTCTTCTCTATCGTATTGATGCAGGTTTGTAGAAATGGTCCGAAAGCGTAAAGCCTTTTGAAACCGTCCTATGACTTCCTCGGTAGCCGGTATAAAATCAGTATCGTTTAGACGACAACTTCTGACCGCGTCCGTACGAACGGAGAAAGTGGCGGTCCTTATAATAATGATAATCACAACCACAAATAACACAAGTCCTAAACATTTACACAGCAATCGGAACATTCTCAGTGTGTGATCGTCAGTGCAACATTATGTACAGACAGTTAATAAACAACACTTAGTAACAGGGGGCAATCGTCCGTCAGCCTGTGAACAGGGATTACATCCTACTACGGTGCGCAGAAAACGTCATCGTAATATTCTTTTTAAAGCAATATTAGCTGCATTTTTGAGAATTTTATTTTGCCATTGAAATGTGTTATTGTATTTATATTATGCCCTGTTCACACGACGAGTTTAATTCGCAGTAAATTAATGAGACGTAAACTAATGCGAATCAAATTAATGCGAATTTAATTGCGTTCACACGACAGCTAATGCGAAGTAAACTAATGCGAATTAAATTTTTTCTTCTACAGTCAGGCGTCAGTAAGTCTATTATGACGTCATTTGTAAATCACGTCATGTATGCAGAGCCATCCTTTGATACATCATGTAGTGGCTACAGGTATTCATTGATTTTAGTGATTAACATACTTTCCCTCAATTTTTGAACCAAATATAGCACAAATACCTATATATAACCACCAACACGTGTCCTGTGACTTAATTCTGGCCTTACGCATGCGTCAAAATTTAATTCGAATTAGCTTCGCTTAGCGTTCACACGGAGATAATGCGAAGTAATTTTAAATGCGCAGTAAACTAATTCGAATTAAGAGCCAGCCCGCGAGAAAACCATGCAAAATTCAAAAAATCGTCCAAATGGAAGGTTGCAACTTGGGAGTTTTTAGTGGCTTAAAATTTTCTACATAAAGGTAGAAGTCAGAATATTCACAAAAAAATGTTGAACCCTGCACCTATTTTTAGTAACAGCTCATTTGCATATTTGTCGAAAATCACACAAAATTCATTGGAAAATGTATACTAATTGATCAAGTCAAAAAGTTACCTTTTGTAATCAGTTTATTTTCAAATTTTGTTTTATTTTCAAAGTCATAGTCCAATTAACACAATTAATGAGGAAAAACTGAATTCAAATGAATATTTTATTTTTTACACATCTATTTATAGATCCTAAATAAATGAGTATGATTTTTTAGCCATTTTTAGATGCTCGTTTCTCTCAAGACCAAGGTTGAAATTAAATTAATTGTTACTTTAAGAATGGTCTAAGGTCTACTTTGTATTAAAATATTGAGCTTGGGAAATAATATCTACATGTTTTAAATTAACTTTGAAATACCATATTTTGCTACAATTTCAAATATTTAAAATAACAGTCTTTTACCATATTTTTGGATTATTTCTATGATATTTAAATGAAAAATAGAAGATTCTTAATCTAATATATTTTTTAAAAGATGAATAACTGATTTGGATACTTCATATAACTTTCTTTTGCTTATTTTAGCCCCTTTAAACCAATTTGCTGAAGTTAAATTGTTATCTCCCCTTGCTGGAACTCTTTAGTATTATTGGGTAAAAAGTGACTGGAAAGAAGAAAGTCATACATATGATTATTTTTTCTTTACCTAGGGAGTTTTTGTGGAGCATTATTGCACTATGAAAGAGGGAAAACTTATTTTAAGATATTTGAATGTAAGAAAGAAACAACAACTTAGCTTGAATAAACAAAACAGGCCCATAGGAAGCAATTTCAGTGTGGGGGACAACCTAAATGCTTTATCAACTACCAAGAATTCCATTAAAAAAAAATGAAAGGTCATCCGATGTTTTTTTTTTATTTGGGGCATATACATGTAGTAGGTATGTTTTCTATAGGGTTCTGTCCTCGGGGAATCTACATGTATTTCATGGTAATTAACAGTTACAAAATTTTTCCTAACAAGTACATTTGAATAGGAAATCTAATCAAATAATAACAGAATATTTTAAGGCACCTGGCCCCCGTTCAAGTTCAAGATCATTTTATTCACTCAAACCATTTCAGGTACATGAGGACAATGAAGAATATTTACAACATATATTTATTATAAATTTAGGTCAGAGGTACAAATATATGATATACATAATTAGAATATGAAAAGGAAACGAAAAAAGAAAAACACATATGAAACATGTAATAATGAAATAAGCGAGGGGAAAAATCATGGAGGACTGACTAACTAAAATCATATATTTTCAATATAAACGTACGTAGTTTTCTTAGTGTCTTAGCAACTTGTTTTGTCATCAGTTGAGAAAAATATGATAAAGAATAGTAGAATACAAACCTGTCAGGTATTCGATTGCATACTCTCAACAAATTAAAAAATAATTGGTAATTTCAATCTACATGTAAATTGTTTACGTTTCATAAATTTAGTGTGTTTTTGAGTTAACCAAACACCGTCATTCCTAGGAATATTTTTAATTTTACATTACATACATGTACTTTAAACTACTGTGTTACATAACATTCATATATTGATAAAGTCAGATCTCCAGTGGCGTATATTCCATATAGGCAAAAAGGCTGTAGCCTACACATCATTTCCTCAAGAGTAAAACTTTGGTTGAATAAAGGGGCGGGGAGTTGATAATAAATCGTACCTATTAATTTATTTTGTTGGAAATGAAAGAAAGTATTCTTTGCAATCCGCACTTTTATGCCTAACTGATTATGTTTACAGTTTTGCTTTATATTTAAGGACAAAAGTATTCCTTAGCTTGACATTTTTTTAAGCCAAAGTTCAAGTGTTATTAATATCAAGTCTGTATCAGAAAATTTAATCAAAAGCAACAGGATCCCATAATATGTGCAGGAAACGAAATTGATAACTTGCATTATATTTGTTAGTCAACATTTTGATCGAATTTTGATTATTTAGTAAGGAAGTTTCCATATTTTCTAAGCGGGTATCAAGTAAAAGGATAAGTTCTCAGTTTTGTTAAGTGGTCTTCACATCACGATATAAATTGTTGATTATTTAGTAAGGAAGTTTCCATATTTTCTAAGCAGATATCAAATAAAAGGATAAGTTCTCAGTTTTGTTAAGTGGTCTTCACATCACGATATAAACTGTAATATATGTACAATATTATTTTCACTGGTCAAATTAAAATTGCAGATGTCTGAGTTTGCAAAAGTGGTCCCTTTGACCCCCCCCCCCCCCTCAATACCTATCGAGAGGAAGCCCCTTGTCTACCAAAGCTTTGCAGCTCAGGTTCAATATGTGGCTTCACACAAGCGTACACATTAGCAGAAAGGAATATACGCCACTGATCTCTTATTAAAAATCATCAGCTCAAAAGGAGATGCCACCGATTTAGGTACCCCACCGATATAGGACCCTCCACGTTAAATATTGGCAAAATTATTCGGGGGAGGGCACTACCCCCCCCCCCCCCCCCAAGAAAATATGAGTCGTTACTGCAGCCAAAACTTTGCCAGTTTGCAGTACAAAGTGGTAAAAATTTAAAACCGGCTATAAACATGATAAACATGATAAAAGACTGGATTCATATTCATTCAAATTGGGGGGGGGGGGGGGGGGGCTTATCAAATTTTGTCGAAATTATTTTCAAAACATTATTAATAAAATTGTATAAGGCTTTGTAAATTAATATTTGATACTTTTTTTTCTGAATAACCATAAAGGTATTATTAATACCATTGCAGAAAGAGATAAATTGTTTTTTTTAAATGTTATATCACTTATATGTATCCACTGAAAACAGTTGGGGGAGGGGGCGTGTCAGTCGATCAAGGTCAGGATATTAAATATACGAGTGTATCTAGTACCCAATCGTTTCACCCCATCCACCTCCCTACAATTTACATACTAATATTGAAATGGATAAAATAATGAAAAATTATAAGGGTTCTGGAGGGGTGTTGCTAAAACGAGGAACGGAAAACGGAACGGAAAACGTATTATATTTTTTATTTTAGATTAAATCACTTCAAATACACAAATTTATAAACAATATATATTTTATAAATTCAATCCCCCATTATTTAATTCAAGTTGATTTATTCGTGTTCATAAAATCTCTTATTTACGAAAATCGCAGTCATAGCAGTGACGTAGAAACGATTTTGAAGGGGGGGGGGGGGGAATTAAACTTACCTGAAAAGAATATTTGCCAAGCGAAAAAAGAAGACAATTGTTTGATTCGGGAAGTGGAATAAGAGTAAACTCCAGCATCTTTCATTTTCTTAAACTCCTTTATGGAGTATTTTGTATAACATCTCCTGTTAGTATTTTTAAAAGATTGTACCAATTTAAAATTGGCAGAAAGCAAACAACTTAGTGAAGGCTCAAATTTTATATGTTCAAGTCTCAAAATTTATATGAATGATACTGAGAGTCCGTTTGAATTTAAATACTTGTAATTTCCCTTTTATTAATTAAAAAGATACTAACTTACTGAATACAAAATGTAAGGAACATGAATATTCATATGATTGTTTAAAAATTGCAAGTAAGCTTTTTTTCATTTCTAAACAATTGGCAAAATGCTAATCCTCATATTAGGGGTAATTTCTGACAATTTAGTTTAATTTAATTTTTAATTTTAATATTTTTCAATCTTAATTATTATTTCAAAGAAAATTGTTACATGTTTCAATATCTAACATAAATTGTTTATAATTTTAAGTACTATATTTGACTTTGTAACCCATTTGAGTTTGAGCAATTTTTTCAAAAATTGGCAATTTGTAAATCCCCATATCTCAATTATTTATCATATCCCAAGCTCAATATTTTGCAAAGATAATGTTTAGAGTTATATTTGTACAATAAAATCAAAAAAATTAATTTCAAAGATTGGTCTTGGAAGATTTGGGGCATTAAATTTGTAATGCTTTTGGCAATTCTTGAAAATTGGCATCATGCCAATTTTCAAGAGTTGTCTGCCCTTTGATATATTGCATATTTGATTATGATAAATGTCAATTTTGAAAGAACATAGTCTTATGTTACTTAAAAATACCTTAATGGAAATGCAAGTTTAATTTTGAGGAAAATAAATCAAATGTGAATTTTACCATTTTTCTTGAATTTTTTAAGTGCATTTGTACTTAAATGTGCAAAAAGGAGTTGGCGCTGCCTACGGCTGCCATGTTGAATGATGGGAATTTTTTTGGCCATTTTTGAATAACATATTATAAAGTCAAACTACCCACCAAATTTCATTAAGATATGACAACCTTCGATTTGGACA